CTGTATGGCAAAGACAAAATCATATATTCAGTCATGTTGATCTAGTCAAAAGAGCTCCAATCTCAATTGGAGCTGTCAGGAAGGCTGAGAAAAACATCTCCGTCTTGAGGGAGATCTGGTTCTAGAGGATTTGGGGGAACAGGGCAGAAGAGAATTGGCAAGGTGGATTAACCATTTGAATACAACCAGGAAAATTAGGCAGAAATAAAGCTGCCTTGAACTGAAGGCAGAGTACAGAGGACTCTGGTAACAACTAAGTTGCTTTTGTAGTGGCTTTTTGACCACTGATGTCTGACAAATCACAAGAGTGTCCCATTACCTCGAACTCTCAATTCTGCAAACACATGCACACAAAATTGGTGCTTTACTTCTGGCATCTGCTCAGCAAAAATATACTGTGAAAACAAAGCCTACAAAGAAAATCTTACACTCAAAGTCTCCAGCCCACAACTACTATTTGCAGTACCCTGAAGAACATTTCTCAGAGTTAGGGCTCCATCTAGTGGAAAACATGAAGTTTGGGTCTTTACATGGCCAAAATACCAATAAAACACCAGAGTCAGAAGATGAAAATAACACTCATAAACTCCCAGGACTGATTATTTAATAAAGACTAGAGGTGTTGTAGTCAACTTATGAATTTCCAAATTGTTACATAGCACATTTTTGTTTCCTTTTTATGAAGAACTTTGTAAGTTGTCATGCCCTAGGGCTGTTGACATGAGTATGCAATGCTTAAAGCTGATGGGAATTTCTGCTCAGGTCAGCTGCACTACAGATACAAATGTTGCCCATGAGAAGGAGGATCAGTTAGAGCACTGTCCCATCACCTGTCATATCTAAAGTGGAGTCGTGTGTATTTGCTGAAAGGAAATTGACCACCATTGCCAAGGCCCACGCTGAGTGAAACTGGACAGCTGACAACAGTGGAAGGGGTTCACCCAAGCAGTTAGGGACAGAATGGTGTCAATCTGAAATCTGCTCGCCAAGACCACAGCTGGGTCATGGTAGAGTAACTCTGGCTACTTTGGTATTTTCACTTGCGCAAAGGATGTATTGAAAGTCACAAATCCAGGATCCTTGGATTAATTAAATTGTTTCTCTGTCACAAAAAGGTTGCACTGCTCATGGAAAAGAAAAAAAAATGAAGAAAGTCAAATATTAGAAAATATCTTGCATCCACCTCCAGTCCTCTCAGCTCCTTCTCACCTGGCTTATCATCAGCACTTGCATGGTCAGCATTTCCCAGTAAATTGAGGTGTACATTCCTGGTTTCAGTATAATCTAATATCTGATACAAAATGGAAAGGAAGCTATTAATAAGATGTTCCATGGGGAAGCCTGCCCTTTGGTACCCTGAAGTTTCACAGCTCATTTGGCTACCACAGCACTTGTTCTTTCTTGGCCAAAACAGCTCTGGCAGAGAAAGAAGTATTTCTTATGTAAAATCCAGGAACTATTCACAGAAGAAAACGACTGGAAGTTGCTAGGACAGACCACTTTTCTTACTTATGGTAAAAAAGTCATGACAGAGAAGCCTTTCTAGAAGCCAGTTATGGGCTCCATGACAAATTAAAATACTTTTGCCACAATAAAGGCCAAGAAGTCTAGTGTGAGTTTGTCAGGAGTGTCCTTGTCTCAGTTCCCCTTGAATATCTTTAGTATCTGGAAGAGGTGAGGAAATGTTGAGTTTTCTTCTCCACAGTAGCCCTAGAGTCCTTAGAGATTTGCTGTTGCAGAAGCAATAAGTACAAATATTCTAGCTAGCATTTATTAGCAAAATAAATCTCGCAATCACCAAGCTGAGTCTTCATATATAATACAAACATGCATTTATCTTTTGTGTATGTATATAAATGTATACACCAGATGCCACGTCTCCCCCAGGACTGAAGACCAGTTTTTGTTGTGTAGATATGGCAAATTTTCATTATTTTTGCATCTCATTTTCAGGCACTTGCAAGATAACACAAGTGCTGGTGGACAAGAAGTATCTTACACTCTTGTTGTCTAAGAAAATGTACAAAACATAGGGAAAAAGTTGCTTTATTGAAAACAATATTGTGCTTGGTCCTTTATAATTTGAAATTCTGTTTTTACAAGATAAAGAATTTCCTTTAAAAAAGTACAGAAAATCATGGTAGCAAATACAGCACACACAAGCGTGGAAACTAGACATGTGAGAACACATCTTTTCACATACAGTGGTACACTGCACATGGAACACAATTACATAGGGTGACAGCTGAGTGTTACTCATCATTTAGGAGAACTTCCAAAAGAAAGGCAGTCAGTGTTTAGTGTTTCAAAACAGTAATGCCTCTACAATTAAACCACAACTGGTTGTTCACTAAGGGATCATGTCCCAGCTCCAGAATAATGAAGCACTGTTAAGGCCAGTCACCTCAATACTAGGTTAAACCACAACAGCAAACAGAGAATTGAAAGTATGCCTGGCTATATTTCATTGCCCATTAGACGAGTCCTTTCTTCATTATCACCAGGAGGATTTTGCAGGCTGGAACTGGAACTGTTCACACAAGGAAAAGAACAGAAGAGATAACACAGCTTTTATATTTTCTAGATACTTCTATGTGATATCAATATAATATGCAAAGAAACACATAACATGCAAAGAACTACATGGATCACTGGGCTCCCTACTACTGCACAGAACCATGCACTGTTCATTCCCATGATCATACAGTGGATCAGATTGAAAGGGACCTTTAAAGGTCAGCTAGTCCAGATACCCTGCCATGGGTAGCAACATCTTAAACTAGACCAGGTTGCTCAGAGCCAGGTCCACCCTGGCCCTGAATGTTTCCAAGGATGAGGCATCCACTACCTCTCTGGGCAACCTGGTCCAGTGTTTCACTACCCTCATTGTAAAAATTTTTTCCTCATATCTAGTCTGAATCTACCTTCTTTTAGTTGTTGGTGAGGATACTAAACAGTACTGGTCCCAAGGCAGACCCCTGAGGGACACAACTCGTCACTAGTCTGTATCTGGACATTGAGCCATTGACCGCTGCTCTCTGCATGTGAGCATACAAACAATTCCAGCTCACAGACACCTTCCTGATGGAGGAACCATCAGAGGGTTTGCTCATTTATGCCATGGTCTTGCTGCTTGTATAGAATAGACATTGCCTGGTTTAGCTGTGCGTTTAGGTCAGTAGGGATTTGGAAACCATACAGACAAATTATTTAAGCGATGTTTTTATTGCTCATCTTATCATTCATTATTAGGTTGGTAGTGAGGAAAAAATGCAAGCACAGATTTCAAAGTTTTGCGCTATTGCAAGCAAAATAAAGAATAAATATCTCAGCATACCTTTTCCTTGTTGCCTCAATGATATAAAATATTCCAGTTGCAAGACCCTTTGAGGAAACAGCCAGTTATAATTGTAGTAATTATAACAAACTTATACAATAACTGCAACAGATATTAAAAATGTGTAATTACTTACACTTAACAGTGGCCATCCTCCTTGGATGGCTGCAGCCCATTCAAAACCTAGTTCTTCATTTAGAAATCCTCCCAGAATTGGACCTACAAATGCCCTGCATCAAATCAAAATGAGGTATTGGCATCCCAAACATAAAGGGTAACATATGTTACCATAACCCAAACATATGTTTACCATAACCCAAATATATGTTATATTAACCCAAAAAAACCCCCAGTTTTATTGGGTTTTGTGGCCTTCCTTCAAAGACTCTTACCTTTGACATCAAAGAGATTTTCTTCCACAGACCTAGCTTTCCTAAAATGCACAATAAGTATGAATTTGTTGTTTGCCAAGGCCCCAGTAAATCTAATTACCTCCTCATCTGGAAACAGGATCTACATCCAGAAAGCTAAATGCTAAAAGTCTTTTTCAGTAGAGAGACCCAATTAAGGAATATGCTCTAAGAAAACATCTATGCTGATCAATTCTATCATAAGAGAAATTCAAAGTCGCATCCCTCAAAACAAAAAGTTTCTAAACTTCAAGACAAAGGTGTGATAAATATAAGCAGTTGGGGAGGCACAATGTGACAGACATTAAAGGTTCAGCTGTGTTTAACTGCCCTGCACGTTTATGCCTGTCTAAAAATGCAGGTTATAAAGGTTATGCAGCTGCTGTCTCTTTAGAAAGGTCTTACATTATATGGTGTCTCATGACAGAAAGAGAAAAAACTGTGTAAAACTAGAAGGACTTCCTGGAAGCAAGTTACATTATAAAACCAGGCTTGACAGCAGCATAAACCTGCATCTGTACTAAACCCTATACCAAATAAACAGGACTGCTAGACAGCTAGATCTTGGAAAAAAATGGTGCAAATTTGTGCCACTGAAACATACCTGCAGCCACAGAGGATTACAAGGACAGATAAAAATATCCTGTAAGTGACTACCAAAAGGGTCATTCTGTCACTTCCCACTGAGTGACAGCTCTGAAGGGCCACTCAGCCAGTAGCATGTTTCACTTATTTCTGGGATGATGACTCTGACTATATAGAGTTACAGGCACACTCTGCTAAGCTATACAAGCATAAAGAATTTCTGTGGCTTAAAAAGAAGATTCTACCTTAAGCTATCCCAGGAAAATGGAAAAAGGAAAACAGAATTAGTAAGGAGCAGACATCTAACTCACCCCACCTGGGTGGACTTAGTTTTGTAAAAAATAAAGTCCACATCTCTCTGTATTGAGCATTAAATATTTTAGTGAAAGGAAAAATGACCACACAAAAGTGCAAGCAAACATCCACTTTAATCACTGCAGGTTTTTGATATGCAGAGCAACATGTTTCAAGAAAGACAAGTTCAGAGCATTGTCAAAACAAAAGTTTTACCTTTTGGGGGTAAAAAGCTTAACATGCCTACCAGATATTTGCCAATCAAGAAACTTTTGAACCAAGATCAACACAACAACAGCCAGGCTTCCATGTGGCAGTATGTAGGGGGATAGAATATAAGAAAATAAAGATAGTGTAGAAAGTAATCTTACCCCTAAGGAGCTGCAGCTGGGCCAATTATCAGAGATTAGGAACAGGCCACAGCTATAACCAATGAGAAGAAGAGTGCTATTAAAGAGTGGGGTGACTGGTTGAGAAGGGAACTGGAGTCAGTTGGCTATTTTGGGAAGAAGAAAGAGTGCTTGGAGGAGATGCCCACGAGAAACACCAAGAAGGTATGGAACTTTTGTGATAAGGAGACAACAGTATGGAACCCCTGCAATAAGACGACAGCAGCAGTAGTGTGGAACAGCTGAACTCTCATAGCTTACAAAAAAGGGGTATGCTTACCCAAGGGACCACATGGCATTGAAGAGCCCAGACACCAGTCCCAGAAGACTCAGACCTTCTTCAAATCCATTCTCACTGCAGAAAGACAGACCAGTTGGAACAGTACAGTACAAACTGTGTCTCAGTTTGTAGACTCCCTATAGACTTTCCCCCCTCCTTTTAATTTGCACACCACATAAATAGTCAACAAGCAGAAGTGTACAGTAGAATTTCTGTTTACCCAGTACTTCTTTACTGCCCCTCTGAAGGATTGCAGTGCCATTTTTCATCTGTTTTCTCTCAAGTTAAGATCACACCATCACAGCAATTCCCCACGTTTCATATGGCAAGTGTGAAACTGTGACAGGTGGCTTTTTAGAAGCAAAGACTTGTTCCAAAAGGAACATACTAAAAAGAGTAAATCAAGGCCTTTCTAGGTCATTACTGAAGTATGCATTCACAAAGTTATATTGGGAGGATAATGACTGGGGTGCTCAGTCAGAAAAAACTAAGACAATAGAGTAGTGGAAACATTTAAGTGTTACTATCTGCCTTTGCCTCAAAAAGAGGGAAAAAAGCCACACTTCATATTCACCCCTGAAAGACAGTTGCAGATTCCTAGTGGCAGTAACATGAAAGATGTGTTGGACTGATTTACTTACTACGCACATTGCAGGATCTCTGGAAACACTGGGATAGCACTCATGCCAAGGGAAAAGCCAATCAAAACCAACACTAGCACAAACATCCACAGCTGACTGAAAGAGAGGCATTTACAAGAAGTTAGCTGCTGAAGAGTCTTTTCAGTAAGGACTCCATTTCACTGAAGGCTGTTGTATCAGCTCTCCCTGACTGATCAGCAAACTATGTGTCTTGAAGCCAATACTAATACTTGAAAAATCCAGTTCTATACTTTAGAAAAAAGACTTTGTAAAAGAATATGAAAAGCTTGTGCTCAAATTATATATTTTCTTATCAAATGCAGTTCATTTTATGACATGCATATAGGGAAGAGTTATACAGATGAGGTTAACTGAGCAACGCTTGTGTGCAAGCACCGGACTTGGTTTGTTGCAGAAGTGAAAGATTCTGAAAATTTTTGATATTTAAAAATTAGCAGCCTAGAAGGAGTTCTGTGCATTAACAAGTCCATTACTTTAACACAGCATCTAACCTAGGACAAAAGGATTGTGTAGTTGTTTTGTTAATGTAGCAGTGTTTTGCTGTGAATTAACTTAAGAAATATGACATTACAGCATTCAGGTACAACAAACATTGTCTTTGCTAGTGAAAACAAAGCTAAAACCTGTCACTTTTCTCAGTAGGATATATACAGAGAGAAGTAAAATCAGTATTGCTGCACAGCCATGCAAATAAACCCTATGGTTTAAAAACATTGATGAAACTAAAAAATCTGGAAAATAAGACAAAATGAGAACTTTGTTTTGCTGAACAGGAAATGCCACAAAACTGTGAGGTAAGGAAAATAAAAAGCAACGTTCTTCCTACCATACACATTACGATGAACAAAGTAACACTAAAAAGCAAAAGAAAAGGATCTATTTTATGAAACTGCAATATCTCCATTTTCAGATGATTTCACAGCTTCAGTCTCATGCTATAACATCAAAAAACAACCATGTTTCATGGTCAAAAGTGGAAGTTAAAAACCAAATCTTTTTCATGGTCAGAGTTGCTAATTGCAGACTTATGGACATACATGACTATGGTTGAAAACATCACATAATGGGACAGGCTCAGGTAGAGGCAGTACCTTTCAATGTGCAGTACAGGAGCAGGTCCTAGCATGAAAAGGCACGCTGCTGTCATTAAGTCTCCAAATATCAGCAGCCATTTCCTGATGTACTGTGTAAGAAAAGGAAAAGCTATGCAATTTAAAATTGGGAATTTGTCATGTACATCAAAAAACAACAAATTCTTGTTTCCTCACTCCAGATGCAATCACTGGCAGCAGTGGCTTAGTACAGAGATTTCAGGATACTGAGCAATGATCCTTCTCGGTTAGCAAAGTATTTTAGGTCTTAGTCTTCTTTAATATAAGAAACACCCTGTATCATTTTACAATGATATGTAAGTTCCTTCCAACCCAGGCTGTTCTATGATTCTGTGTAATTCTCAGGTACAAGGGCATTACCAGTTTGTGTCAGGAAAAAAGCATCAGAAAACTGTCACTGTCCTTCAGGCATTGTATTCAAAGTGTAGGTTTCCTACAATTAGCACTGGCTGTCAAAAAGGCAGTTTAGGTGCACCACTTTCAAAGTCTCTTTCTATGGTGCTGTTAAGAGCTAAAGGATGAGGCTAAAGGATAGGCAGCCCACTGTGCTGATCTAATTTGAATATTTCACTTTTTATGCAATAAAGTCAATACAGCTAACCAGAACATCTTTACTCCTTTTCTCAAAAGCTAATAGAATTAGATGTGATTAAAAGCATGGATAATTGGGACATATTTTCCTACCCTCTATTCCATATTGCCTTGAAAAAGATTGTGCTTAGTCCACTAGAAAGGCTCAGCACACTTCAGCTCCTTGTCCAATTTCCTTTACTGACTTGGACATTCTTAAATTACCCAGGATCAAGAGAGACCTCCCATGTGGCAGTAATGGGTGCACGTGCAAGGTCTTGAAAGGCAGATCCCTTTACAAGACCAGGCCCAGATCCTTTGTTTCATCCACTGCTCCCCACCTCTAAGCAAACGCAGGAGTGCTTTACGCTTCACGCTGCACACATGGCAGGGTAGGACTCACCGGCAGTTTGTCGCTTACGAGTCCAAGGAGGGGAGAAGACAGCGAGTATGAGAGTGCCAAACCAAGGAACACCAAGCCCACATAACCAGCTGGGAGCGTGAACTATGGCAAGGAAGATCAATAAAACAAAAACCAAGACAAACCATATATGCTACATTCATTAAGGACAATCTAAGAATTACATATTGAGTCAAAATACTGAAATGTGCAATTTAAGTATTTTACTGATACCCTACAGAGGTTTTTCATGTATTTGAAATCTTCCACAGAGCTTCAGTTTCATTACTTTCACCAACACTTTTTAAGCATGGTGGAGTGGTAGAGACACCTGACACAACTGCACTCATGTAAAGCCTAAATAATGTCAGGAGGAAACATTATGCTATTGTCCCTACACCAGAACACTGGATTCCAACATTACAATCTGACACACTTGAAAGAAGACACTTCAGATACTGCAAATTCAATGGATTTACTCTCTACCTCTCAAATCTTTAGTTTTATTTGCATAAGAAAAAATAAGTACTGTATTCATCCATTGTTAATCAGCACATCTTAAAAGTAAGCAGTGCCATAAAACTCAGTTCCAACTTTTCAACCAAAGGATGATTTTTATGGGAAGGAATAAGAGGTTTTTGCTGACACCCTGAGGCCCACATTTTCCTAATCCAGACACATATTTCTGCATTGAAACAAAATATGTAATGAATCAAAAGCACCTTAGTTTCTCAAGTAAGTGCCTTAACTAAGAGTTAGAAGGTATTCCAAGATGTTTCATATGGTATAGACTCTATAAATATTCACTATTTCCTTGTCATATGCAAATACATGATAATAACTCTAATTTAGTGGTTAGAATACCTGCCAAAAGGGCCCCAGCCCTTTCACAGCAAGTATTTGTGAGCACAGAGCAGAGGGAAAGCCGAAGAGCCATAGAAACACACAGAATCTACAGTGGGATAATTTCAAATCCCTCCTGGGAGATGGAAGATATACACTCACATCTCCACTGACCAAAGAACTTAGCATCAAGTCCCCACCACGCTGACCAAGTACTCCAAGTACAGATTAGGCAGACAGAAAGTAGCACAGCCATCTGTGAAATATTACCCCTTGGAAAAAAACAATTCATAAATAAAGCACTCAAAGACCATTGCTTAATTTTATCTAGGAACAGAATCTTAAAGGAATTCACATCAAGAGATGTAATATTGCCAGTGGTTGCAGCAGCTTTCAAGAATTTGATTTCAGGAAGGAAGAAAAAATACATTTTTTATGAAAGCAGTTTCTATGCCCTATTCAGAGACAGTACTTTGCAGCTGAAAGACATTTAAGTGGAGAAAGCCCATTTTAAAAGACCTTACACTTCTCATTCTCAAGACCCAGCAGGAAGAGATGGTGCAATAGATATTGACTTATGAGTACTGTGTAATCAAGTTATTTGGAATTTATACAACTAACAGTTAACTAAAGCAGTGTTAATTGGATGAAGCTCAATTTTGTTTAGGATATTTACATTTAGAGCCAGTTACTCAATATTTATTAACTCAAGACTTCAATGCATGTTAGCAGGACTTACCTTCTTTAAGATAAATAGAGATATTGTGGGATCAAAAAAACCCAAGCATGCACTTAGAGAAAATATAGTGAGACAGAGTATTAGGACTTTTGGCAGAAGAATGAGCTTCCAAAATGATTCCTTCCTAGGAGTTGAATCTGTTTCAATAGAAGAGGGGGGGAAACTGCATTATTTTCAGCGGCATAAGCTCATGATTGATCTTCTTGTTTTAGAAAATAAATAGTATTTCCCCTTTTTTAGTCTTCTTACTCCTATTGCACAACATATGAAAGTCAATAGTTGATTATTACATGCTATACCATTTTTATAGTGAAAACTAAAATTCAATAGATGAAGAAGCGTACAATTTAGATTCCAGCACTGCAAATCCCCAACTTGAAAAGAACTAAAGCATGTATTACTCCAATTATGTGAAAAAAGTATTTGCTTCTCTGCTAGCAGTTATACAATGAAATCTTCATGGATATGTCTCAGCTTGATACTTGAACACATATATGAACAATTCATATCTAATAAAAGAAACATGCTTTGAGAGTAAGATTGCTATTTATCAGTTGAGATCTATCCAAGTTTTTAAACAACTAATTGAACTCCAACATGTTCAATTTGTAGTCCAGGAAACTTTTTTCAGATGTCATGGTTATGTGGGAATTTTAAGTCAGGCCCTATTCCTGATGGTGTTTCTCCTATAATACCTGAATGTGGTCTCAAATTATACAAAGAACTGAAAGTTCAAGCATTAGCATCCATCAGCTCAGAGCTAATATTTATGTAACATACTTCCAAACTGGCAGTGATATCATGACAATTTCAGAGCTTGGGGAGGTCAGGGGGGAAAGTCAGCAGTAGCAACACATTTAAAGTCATTAAAATGATAAACTTAAAATCATTTTAAGTTTCTTCTAAAAGCCAATATACTTGAAGTTATTTTCCATGGTTTTCGTATTAAAGGATAAAAAAAATCAAAATTAAAGAAGCATTTCAAAGTTACTAGCATTTTTTTCTCTAAAAAAGAATAACAGAATTGTAACCTTACAATTATAGTCCTGCATGAGGACTTATCTTGAAGTTAGTTTTCTGTACAAGCAGGATCATCTAAAATTTAATAAATTTATATGACCTCCAACACTTCATTAAACCCCTCCTTTATTAACTTTAACATTCTTTCATGTTTATCAGATCCTGCACAAATAAATCCAGATCCAGTACAAATAAACACTTTTTTTTCTCCCTATAATTAGTTTTCCTCTCCACTGTTAACTCCTCAAACATGTTGAGTTCTCCTGTTTTAGGCAAAATCTGTCCCCAGCTTTTGCTCAACTAGCTGCAATGACAAACCTATAGGAAGCAGACACAGCTGATCCTTTACAAGCCCTAAATCTAAGGCAAAAACAAACAAAAATATATCAGTTCACTTCCACACAAAGTTCCTACTGTTTGCAGAAATTAGCATGAGAATTTGTGTTAATTCCAGGCCATCTCATGAATTTAGGTTAGCATTAAACATGAGCCTTTATCAAGATGATAAGCTAATTCAAGTGGAGTTTTGCCCTCTGACTTGGATCAGACTCCAGAAGCTGACACTTTTTTAAAGACACTTAAGTACATGAGCAGTTAAGGTGAGTGAAGGAAGCAGGCAGAATGATGCTTACCATATCTTGGCAATATGCACATATTCACAGGCACCAGAGCCAGCACTATGCATCCCAGCGCAATGAAAGGGACCTCGTAACCAAATAATTGATACAAAAAGCCACCCAAAGGTGGGCCCAGCACCAGTCCAAGTCCTGAAAAAATCTCAAGGCTGCCCTAAAGCATGAAATAGCAAGGAGAAATGAAGTCAGTATGTTGAGAAAATACAATGCAACAATACAAAGCAAGCCATGTGTCTGAGGAGCAGTACAACATATCCGGGTAGTGAAAAACAAGACAATGCATTGCCAGAACAAGAGCTAGTAGTGATGCTCACAGGGTGGGATAGCAAGAGGAATTCCACAGTTATGTGTCTGACAGCGATGACCTCTTTTGCTTCTCTACAGGGAACCACCTGTACTGGTTCCTGTACAGCATTCACAACTCTGCTGTCACCTAACAGATATCAGTCTTGATGTAAGCAAATGCTCCAGTAGCAGAAAGCATGCACAGGACACCTCAGGCTGAAGGTGAAGGGATCACCTCTCCCACCTGCCATTACACTCCAGCCTGAGGGAAAGGATCTAAACACACCTACTCAGATGGGTCATTATCTCATGGCATGAAGTATATGTGCAAAGTTAAAGCTTTCTCTCCATAAACAACTGTTTGGACTCACTCCCTAGGGATAGGAAAAAATAATGAAACTGCAATGGGGACAACTCAGATTGTTTTGGATATAATTTATTAATCTGGTATGTTTTATAAGATGCTAATTTGTAACAGGACAGTAATACAGATACATCTTGTGCTACAATGTCATGGTCACCACTGTCAACAATTGATTAATCAATGCTTAGATCACCAGGAAGAGCTGGTGGTAATAACTGCTTACAGATAAAAGTTTTGATAACTTCCAGAACCCAGAAAGATAACTCCAGGGAATAATTCTCATCTTCAGTTTTACTGATACAAGTCAGAGTAGTCAAATGTCCTGAAAACAGTCAAAGTCATCAAAAGCCAAGTTCTTTATCCTAGGTTAGTCTAGGGTTGCAACCTTTTTCTTTCCTAGCAAAGAAAATAACTAGGTATGGCCATTAATATCACTGTATCCAGATGATGGTTTCACTTTTTTTGCTTACCAGCCATAAAAAACACTTGATTTGTGAGACTTTGGTTCAAATAATTTACATGATTTGGGGCTGTACATCATTTAGCCCTTCTAAGTTAATGAAATGGGGGGAAAGCTGAGACATTGCAGTAGTACAGATCAGAGGATAAGAAAAACCTGATACTGTAAGAGAAGTGAGATTCCTTATGTTCTGAAGTCCACACCTCCTCCCTCCACAAGGGATCAAGTTGACAAATGCTCAACTTGCCACTCCAACAAAGCTAGTGTGCCTATACTTAATAACTTCCCCATATACCCTCTAGGGTACCCAACAAATAACAGGAACTCTGAAAACTTGTACCAAAATGGTAAGGAGGTGAAAACTGATTTTCACGATCTAGCACTATCAAGAAGGACAACAGAGAGCAGGGCCAAAATAGCCTCATCCCCTCCTTCAGGCCTCAATTTTACCCTAGGATGCACCTTGCTTAAACAATCAGCTCTTTCTTCTGCCTCCTGCCTCAGAGCTCACAGTAACAAGAGCTCTCCATCATGCCCATTTAAGGACACTAAATCTACATGAATAAATATTAAGAGGTTTTATTCTCAAGCAGAACAAGACACTGGAGTTCACAATATGGTAAAGTCAAACATTTAGAAGTCATCTGTCTTTTTATAGCACCCTTTCTAGATTTTAAACAAAGGTAAGTACCAAGCCACAGCTGTGTAGCATTTCTGATTTTGGTCTTGAGATGACCTTCACCACTACATATCATTTTCAGCCGTGAATTATGGTTACTGTGCTCTCATAACAGAATTTCTTTTCTTTTTAATTCTGATTATAAAATGGGTAACTAAGTACCTTTAAGTCAACATTACTTTACTTACCTTTTTAAATTATGTTTTAAAATTTGCAAACAGGAAACCTTAACCTTATTGACTGAATAAATCCAAAACATGATTAAAATATATAAATTGCTCCAATGAAAAGGTCAGCTAATCACTGCTGATACAACTTAGTAGGTTTCTTTTGAGTTATAGACATATTCTTATAGGTATATATTTATATAAGTAATTAAATAGCTTAACAAAAATATTAATAAAAGCAGAAACTTTTCTAATTTTATTTAACATTCTTAAATAATTTCTCAACATTTGCTCACTCATTAATATTTAACCCAGGTATTTCTGACAGAATATTTTTGAACTGAAAACCAGAATGCATTGAAGAATAGACAGAGAAAACAGTATTTATTAAACACAAAACTTTTCTTTAACACTTTAAAAACCCCAACTGAAAAAGGGTAATAAATCTGTTTGAAATGAATTGTTGATGATCAGAAATACTGCCCTCCAGTTTCAAGAAATTCTAGCTCTTATCTTTTCATACCTAACTTTTATCAACAGATTAGAAAAATTAAACCAGAATTGTTTCAGTTTTGCATCTTTCAGTCATTTAAATCAACACCATTTGAATTAATTTATCATTTTTAATCAGTTCACATGGATCCTTACTATCCAGGTAGAAGCAGTCACTAAAAGTCGTACTAGTATTTTATTAGTATTTTGTCTTGATTTTCACTGAAGAGATAACTACTGCCACTAATGGTCAGCTGTCTTCAAAGCACAAGTAACTAATATATACTGCTTAATTTATATCTAACCAGAGTTATGATAAGGTCTGAACTTGTTATAGGATTGATTCTAGATTACAAACAAAACATAACATGATGATTTCAAATAAGACTGCATAGGAGACAACAAATTTTCTCCTGATTTTAGGCTGCCCACTGGCAATTTGTCTTATTGCTGGAACTCAGCTCTAACACTGCTTTCTGAACTTACCAGGACAGTAGCTATATTAGTGGGAAATGCCTTTGCAAGGATTGAGAATGATGCTGTAATTGCTGCTGCAAAGCTTATTGCATCCATTGCTCTTACTAAAAAGCAGAAACCGATGAACATTGGTCCACTTGGCACCTTGTCAAGTATTCTGGAAAAGAAAAATCCCAACAAGAAATTGGATCTCTCTCAGGATGGAAGAAGCCATCTACTAAAGGCCATAGAGCATCATTTCTTGCTCATTAAAAGACACAGTTACAAGACACTCAATGCTTTCTACTACCACTTATTTTTGAACCACATCAGTGAAATTATTCAAACTCTACCAAACTATTTCTGGCAGCTTTCTCCTTTTCCCCTTTACTTGGCAGTGAATAGAGCATGAAAACTGTAACCTGTGAAAAACTCAAATGCCACCTTTGTTGCATTCCATAGTTTTTCCAAGCACCTGTGCAAGAAGCTTGATGCAATGTGTTAGAATTAACTAATAAGAGATTCTTTAATTGATAATAAAACATTTATTTTGCTAAAATTAGTGACTTAGAATCTCCACCTGGCAGGCAAAGCTTCCCGTTTAAGCCCAATATTTTAAGGAAATAATAATTAAAACATTATGCAGAAATAGTTTTCTTATTGCTGCACCTTTGACAGGCTTCTCACTGTCTACGAACTACTACTTAAATAGACAGAACCTAGCTCCTCTAATTTCAAAGTAGTAAACAGACTCTGAAACCTAGTGAAAGGAAGAAGTGTTCATTCTGCTTTACAAGAGGTAATAAAAATTAAAGATGCAAGAAGTTAGATGACCTAAGATGCCCAAGAGTTTCTAATTTTGCGTCCATCTTTTCATATGGATGAAAATGATCAGAAGATAAATGCAACAAAACCAAGCAACAGAAATTACTTACCCAAACAGAATGGTAACACATCCTGAAACAAACATCCCTGACACAAACATGAATTTTGCTCCAATTTGTGAAAGCTGTAAATTAAATACCATTTTTACATGTTAATATTTCAAGGAAACATCAAAAATTTCCCATATAAGTTACTGTTAAGAAATCAAAAAATTATGGGAACTTTATAGCCCCTGTAACTAAAAGACTGGGAAACACTGCTTCTGCTGATGTGCCTTCATTCAATAATGAACCTAAAAATACTCTGAACAGTTAAGTGACTTAACCCAGTTTTAGAAAGGTAAGACAATGCTGTAGTTAACTATTTCACAGCAGCATGCTGCAGCTTCTGCAGAGCAGCAGGTTGCAGCAGCATTCCTCATTATAAACAAACAGAAAGTTTGTTTCCAAACCTCCCCTGCAGCACTATCACTGACTGAGGCAAGGCCAGCAATACCCATGATGTATCTGGCTAGTGAGAGTCAACGCAAGCTGATTTTCAAGCAAATTTAAGACAACCCTTAACAGCACAAAGCTTGGGCATGGGAAGTATGGTACTTTCAGCCCTCCCCATTAATTACCAGGGAAGGACCCCACTTTTCTTCATTTCAGACTCTCTCACCAGAGTGAAGGATGACAGGAGGCATCCATAAAGCAAACTCGCTCCCGCAACAAAGTACAGCTGAGCCTCTAATTCCACACTGCAACTTCCCTCAAGGACAGTAGGTGTTTCAAGCCCTTCTTTTGTTCAGGCCTGAACAAAGTCCCTGCCTTTCAGCCATTATTACTAAAGCCCATATTTTGCTGAGTCTCACCCAAACCCTGAGGATCTCTGCTGCACTGCCCAGGTCTGTTGATGCTCACTTCAGCTGTCTGCAGTGAGGACAGCACATTCACTCTCTCCCCTGGTAAAGTACCTGGTGAGGCTTGTGCCATAGCTGAATGCCACTACAGGCACCAAGACTTGGACTTAGTAATGGCACTTATGTGACACTTCATGAGCCACCTCAGCACCAGACAAAGGCACTCACCACAGGGTCAACAAAGAGGCTGCCCAGTCAAAGACAGAGGATTTTGAACTGCTGCTCTGCAGCAGCCCCAGCTTAGGGAATGATCCTGAGCAGCCCTAGCAAACACTGCGTAGACAGCAGTGCTGCAGCACATAAACAAACATTTATATAACTTATTTGTGATTTCTTCAACATGAGAAAAATCCTGAATCTGTGGGAAAGCTCAAGTTACAAGAACTGGAAACATTTCTCTCATATTAATATAGAATGAAGTTTAAACTGAGTTAAGCAGCGGAAAATCATAACAGGAGCAAAATGTTTAAAAAAAAAAAAAAAAAAGACAACATACCAGAAAAGAAGAAGAGGTGCAGCTAACTAAAGAAAGAAACAAAACAAAAACAAAATACCTTTAATGTCGCCAAAGGCAAACCGAATATATAAGTGCCACAAATAAAATGGGGGGGGTAGGAGAAAGGAGGTCATAGGAAGCAGAATTGATCCGATTACTCTAAAGCAAACAGAAAAGTTAACTAGAGAAACAAAACAGTTACATATCTGTTGCCCTATGCTACTCTCAGGAATGACAGAAAAGTACTGACAAGACTTAGATCACACTCAGACTGACTGGTCAGACTCCAGTTACTGCAGACAGAAAATTGCAGTAGCACTACTGAAAAGATGTCTCTTTTCTCAGCCTTGCAGAACTGCCTTCATGTACCAACCTGTGTCACCACAGAAAAAAGTTACAGCTCCAATTATACTTACATAATTTCCCAATATTAAAGAAGTCAAGAAATTGACCAAAGCAAAACATCCAAAAATCAGGCCAACAACTGTGTTACTGGCACCTTTTTTTTCTGCCTGCAAAAAAGATCACAACCATGTACAGACTCAGTCAAATTCTTGAGGTGAACAACATTCATGCCTTGCATATTTAAATCTATTTAATTGTCTATTAATGCAGCTAGAAAGCAATTTCTTTTATCAGAGGCAGTAGGGGCTCATGAGGTAACAACACAATTAAAAGACATAATTGCACTTCTAATATGTCATCAAGGGAAAAGCAATGTTAATTTGTCAGTGAATGAACAGGCAGCCAGACTATATAAAGGTGGCTTCAATTGGTGTGCAAGGGCACTAGCTACAGAACTTTGATCCCTTGCACAGTGAGAGGGCAGTAAATGGAGAGATCTGTTATCTTCACTGTGACATGCCACCCCATAACAAGCACCAGACAATTTTCTACTTATTTAGCTGGCCAAATACACTCACTTTGGCACCAGCAGTACACAGGCATACTTAGAGAAAAATAATATTTCTTTGTAAATACTTGAGACAAAAAGAATATTTCTTTGTAAATACTTGGTAACAATTTGGTCATTAGAGAAATGGACTTCTGCTGCAAAGGCACCATGACCACTTTTTCTTTGTTGTATTCATTCAACATAAGCAGAAATTTTATTTTTTCCCCTTTCCTAGGTCAGGAAGTTAGCACAGTTAATGATGGCGCAGAATGAGTTAACAGAGTTAGCTATAAATAAAAAGTCATTGAGAAGCTAGGACACAGAAATGCAAGTCAGGACATTGGCGGAGTTTAATCTCAGCTCTACAAAACTACTATGCAACACTGAGCAAAAAATTATTTCACTTCTCCAAGAATCCACTTTGACTTCTATCTCATCTCATTAGTTTGCTGTCTCCTCTGCAGTCATAGGGAAGATTAATCCATGGACAAGATCCAGGTCACCATTTTATGAACTGCAGCTACAGCAGCATCTTGCTATCACTGACTTATCACAACTCAAAAGTCTTAACTCAGAGCTCACAGCCAGCCATAAATGTTCCATGGAGGTCAAGATATTTCTAAAAGTTTCAACATGCAAAAAAGTAATGTAGAGAGTAGCTAAGTTGTGTGTTTACCTCTGAAGGGAAAAAGGGTCCCAGGATTGAGTAGCACATCATTGAACTGAAATTTATAGAAGCTGCTGCAACTAGTGTATAAAGCTGTTCTCTGGTAAACCGCCTCGATTCCTCACCAACTGCTTCTGACAGGCCATCATCTAAAAATACCAAATAAAAATTATAACAAATTATTATAAACTGACACAGAGGAACAATTTACGAACCATGTTGGAAAATTAAAACCCGCACTAAACTTGTACCCTCCCGGCTCTCAGATCGGAGTCGAGCCGCGCTGCCTTTTACCCCGTGCAGAGCGCAGACCTGGCCGCGGTGCAAATGCCGGCAGCCGCCCCTCAGCCTGGCCC